ACCGGATCATCATTTTGCTGACTAGAGTAGAAGAAGGCAGTGGGGTTTCTTTATTTATTGATAAGCCAGTTGCGTAAAGGCTTGTCAAAAAGCTCTGAGTGGCTTTCAAAGCTCGAACTTTCAGGTTGATTTATACCTGAAACTAACGACCCGTCCCGACTTTGTACGTATGATAAGTATACATTATAAACATTCCCCTTGAATCACTCTATCTATTAAAAAAACGCATCAAAATCTTTTTTAAAGATTAAAGCATACATAGGGACAGACAGACAGGAAAGCGACTTTGTTTTGAACTATGTAGAGATAGTGAAGTTATAACTGAAATGTTGTGTATCTACATAAGTATACAAATAATAGATTTTACAGCTTACTAAGATTGTGACCGTAAAGACTTGTGTACAATTAAACAAATACACAAGGCATTTATGGATACTATGGTTAAAGAATAAGAGGGCAAATCTCCCATCAAAATTACATGAGAAGCTACTGTTGCCTGTTCTGTTTATAACATATAAGCACTTAAGTGAGCTAACAGCTCGTGTTCGTTCGTTCGTTTCAGCCAAATGACGTCCACTGCTGGACAAAGGCCTCCCCCAAGGCTTTCCACAATGAACGGTCCTGCGCTGCCCGCATCCAGGCTCTTCCCGCGACCTTTACCAGATCGTCGTTCCACCTAGTAGGAGGCCTGCCCACGCTACGTCTTCCATCCCGTGGTCGCCACTCGAGAACTTTCCTGCCCCAACCCAACGGCCATCGTCTCTACGAGCTATGTGCCCCGCCCCACTGCCACTTGATTTTAGCAATTCTGCGGGCTATGTCGGTTACTTATGCTCGTGTATACTATACAACAGCTCGTGTATTATGTGCGATCCTTCTTCGTCTATTTCTGCTGGAGTTGTTGCTAAGTATTTGTGACTTTTATGAATAGAGAACCACTTTAAACATGTTAATTTTCTAATTTTACTGAAGTTCTGCAGTTCAGAAAACTTGTTTGTCGCTATTCGAAGCGTATCTTGTCCAGTTATTAGAGAAATGATCATTGTCGCTGTAACACAGATCTCTGACAGGCGAATTTCATCAATTTGAATTCCATCTGAGGCAACTTTTTTGACTAAAAACTGACTGGAAAACTATTTCTTCTGGCACGTTCGTTTCAGCCAAATGACGTCCACTGCTGGACAAAGGCCTCCTCCAAGGATTTCCACAAAGCACGGTCCTGCGCTGCCCGCATCCAGGCTCTTCTTCTTTGGGTGTTTAGTTATACCTAAATTTTATAAAAACCGATTTCATCAAATAACTATTTCTTACTTTGTTTGACAAATTAATTGACAAAATGAATTTGATTCCGGCAGCTGTAGTACCTACTTAATTAACAATACTTAATAGCAGGCAATGACATTATTAAACTGCTATTTAACTGGTATGGAACGTGTTCACATTTCACTGATGTCATTATTTTTACATTCAATTCCTGTTCATTGCGTTTTGATTATGCAGTTTTATTATTATTGTATTTACTATAAATAACATTGCTATAAAAACTAAAAACTCATATAAAGAATCGTTTAAATACTGACTAAGCCTAGGCTCAGACCACCGACTTTTAGTTTTTTTTTTTTTTTTAATTTATTTAGGAAAACAAACAACTGTTACTGAACAATACATATTTTTTCCTAAGATAGTTCAATAAAAATACAGACTAATTGGACAGTCAACACCGTTATCCTAGTTTAATAAAATGAACATGCAATGTACGTACCCTACAGATACTTAATAAATTACCACTACTAATAACATAAATGCGAAAGTGTCAACAAAACGCAAAGGCCACATGGAACTTCATGATACCTTACAGAACCAACTGTAAACGATCTGCGGCAAACAAGAGAGTACCAGCACTGAATCGGACAACAGCAATGAAACCCCAGTTGAAACCCTAGTTGGCCAACAATAGTTGGGCCCGATTCTAATTTTTATGAACAAATCGGTGTAATTGTGTGCGCACTTTCATACATCTCCATACTGATCAATACCCCGATCCAACTATTGACCAAATAAATAATTTAATGACCCACCTCTCAAAAACACCGTAGAGATTATTAATCCTTATGTTGTAGACTTTACATACATTTAATACTTGCAATAAATTACCTATTTACATTAACATAAATAATAGCAACGACATCGACCTTGATAACTCCCACGGCATCTTATATGGAATAATAATTGATTGTTTTAATAATATGAGTAATGTTCTCACAATACTGCACAGTTTGCAGCGAACCACGCGTGCAATAATGAATATAGATGCAGTTGATTCAGTGCACTTTTACGGGTCATCAGTGACCCTATCGTATTTGTATTTCAGACCGTTGTAGTCAGCATCCATAGCTTGACCGCCAAGAAAACTCCAACCAAGATCAAGTTTGTCCCAGGGGAAACTTAGACTGTCATTTAGAAGAACATAATTGCGAAGTTCGAAGTTACGGTTCGACTTCCCTTCAGTGCAAAGCAGGACTAAAGGAACGGATTGCAAAGTTGCATTTCTTTTTACTTTTTCGAATAAATGTGTCGATTATGAATTAGACATTTCAATGTTCAGATTTATCCAAAAGAATATGATTTAAACCTCGTAGCAATTATCTACGCCTATGATAATAATCACAAGATTAACATCGGACGTGGAAGAATGTTAACAACTGCAATAAACAACTCAAATGTATTTCAAAAATTGTCGATCAAAAGCCGTAGCTTCTGTATCTCAATTGAGTAACAACTTTACGTAAACCTTAGGAAAGTTGTTTTCCCAGATGTTTTCAATGTGATAGGCGATTTCCCGTATTGCTTTACTGATACTGATAAAATAAACAGGAAGGAAATGTTGACATCATAATCTAGCAGGTATGAGCCTTTTATTGCAATTCTTCTATGAGCTAGTAAGTTATGGATTAAGTAGACACAAAAGCCCACATATTACACAATATTTTCCTGTGCTTAATTAATATAAAATATTTATTCTGTGCTTCAAACAAAAAGTTAGTAAATACTTTTACGTTTACGATTAAGTTTCCAATGTCTAAGAGCAAAGGTAATACTATAGTTTTACGAGTATTTTATTATTTACAGGCATCTCTTTCGATTCTAGCATCAGCAGGTATTAGATACTTATAGTTCAGTTATTATTTACTTGAGACTAAATATTTTTGTAACTTAATATAACACTAAATAATTCTACAAGCCACTTTTCAGGTTGTAAACTAAGCTATTTCGAGACTTAAAAGCCCAAGAAATTAACAACCGTTTTCAATCATGTAGCCAACAGAACATCTACATTATAAAGCCAACAGAATCGCTGCAGCGTTTCGTTACGTGTCAGTTAATGAAACCGGTCCGCGTGCTAAAAGAATCTTGCAATAGATTACCTGTTTTTAATAAGTCAATGCGTTTTGGAACTGTTTTCGTTCGAATGCAGATCGAAAGAAGGCATTTTTCTGTTCATTTAGTGACTGAATGAACACAAAAACTTCGACCAAATAGTCCATAAAGTGCAGATTTCAATTGACAGAGGGGGTACTCAGTTCAAATACCTATCGGTAAAAGGGGTCACTTTAGTCGCGGCTTCAAAGATTAGTTCTAGTGCCAGTAAGGTCACTTTTAAACAAATAAGACTCAATATTGTTGATTTGTTTTTGCATGCTTTCACAGACAGTTTTTAGCGATGGTTTCGAATTTTAATTGATGATTTGTTTTTATTCAATGGGAATAACTCTCGACCTCAAGGATTCTGGCAGTAGGTGGATGAAAAAAGTAAAAATTCGTGTTCCAGTTGTATTTAGCCGAGATTATGATGACTACCTATTAAATGTATATTAATACCTAGTTTTATTTGATGATGCATTCGTTAGCGATAACGGAGTCATAAATCAAGTATAATTAACTCAAATTATACACAGTCTCTTACCACATATTAGCTAATATTGATGTCTTCCAATTTATTTTAATTTTTGTCAATAATTTCATCGTTCGTTACGATTATGTTTCAACGATCATTACAATTGTTACCTACTGTAATTTTCACACTTGATTGCATTTTGTGTCCAATTAACCACAATAATCTTGTTGCCTTCGATTTATTATCTCTGTGACCAATTTTCTAGGTTTTTGCAACCCAATTCGTTTTTGCAATAGTCATAACGTGCTTTGCCTCGCCACGGAGTCGAACATGCGGTCATTTCGTAACGTCAAGGAAGTGTTTTCAGTCATCCCGCGAGAGAAAGTTGGTACAAAACACCTGTATTCATCGAAGACACAATGGGTTTGGTTGTCCAAAAGTATTACAGTAACATCCGTATTAGAAGACACCACACGAGAATACGAAACGACTTGAAATATCACATATTGGTTTGTACGAGTAGGTATAGTTGAAAGTTTCAGCAACATGAAATTGATATTTACAAAATCCACAGCCCTTCGAAAATACTACAAACAGTTTTATAAGTTACAAAAAAATGACCATTTATATGGATTATTTTCTAATAGGTTTGAATTGAATAAGAATAGGTTAAAATATCATCCATAGTTTTGTAGCTTTTGACCCTCATATTTCCGCTTTAATGTAATTACCAGTTGTATTTGTTACTTTGCTGCAAAACATTTTATTAGGCACTTATTATTATCTGAATAGTTCCTGAGTGCTTCTTATATAGGTCTGTTTTCTATCAATTGACATTTTCACCCCATAAATGAGTCACAGAGCCAGCTTGACACAGACAGACTGACGTGTAGCCTAGGGAGGGAATGGCAAGCGGACCTTTACTTCAAGGCCGTTCGCGTCTCGCATTTATCCATCGATACCTACTTCGGATTTGGAAAAGAAGCATGCTTAAGCAACCGTTAGGCTTGTTAGTAGTGTAAGCTTTAGGCCAGTAAAAGTAAAGACAAATTCAACAGCTTTATTAGATGGTTATTTAAATTTATAAGGTAAAAAAAGTACACACCGTTGATTTTATTTCTAAAATAAGTATGGCATCCTGTTCTTCTTATTCACAAACTGGCTTCCACATAGGTGTACCATGTAACGTCGAATTCACAAAAGTTCACGACACTAAACAATACCGTTACTCTTGCTTCTTTGCTACATCACAAAAATCACTGTACACTTATTTGAGAATTATAAACACACAGTATAACTGATCACGCACAACATCATTATTCTCACTTTGATAATTTATTACAGTATTTCGATAACAGTAAACTTATTCGGAAGTATTGCTAACATAACCCGCCACGGTGGAATGTAGTTCACAACTGACAACTTACATGTTTACCTTAAGTTACAATGACACCATTCAACCGTCTCTTTCTTGCACAGCCGTCTTGGGACGAGTGACAGAGAAAGGAAGCTCCGTGATTGCGAATGCAGCTGTCTCAGCTAGCGACATTGAACGCGGCAAAATGGGGAACTAACGCAATCTGATCTTATTGATAGGCGTTGTTGGCGCATCAAATTGACGATAGATGGCGCTTGCAGGCCTTCAGATAATGTCAATACAGTGTTCAAATTATGCGCTAGATGGCGTATCATGATTTTTGTAACGTATCAAGTATTTCCCGAGGAAGCTTTCAACTAAAGCGCATCTGATATTAAAGTACCCAACTTAAAAGCACTCGCGTTAAGTCAGAAACTGATTTAACTTACTTCCTGCGCGGATTCAATTAAATTTTTCTTTTTTCCTCATACCTACTTACCTGCTTCTACTTTTCATACCTTCCTTTTGAAATTTTCTCTTAATTAAAGAAAATTGGTCTAGAAGCTCTCAGTCAGTTTTTAAGTACCTAGCAAAGGGAAACTAGGACGTCATAATAAAATTGTTCGCTAAATCAGGCAACTACATAGGAAATCGTACTACATAATAAGAATCGATTTAAAAGCTCCCACTGAAAATCGTTAATTAGAAAATACATAGTTAATTAGTTTTTATAACTTTAACTAATATAGATACTTTTTATTTGGAGTCGGTAAAAAAAAAATGTGACACTAACTAAGTAAATGATACCTAACATTTTTATGGAAGTTGTGTTTTCAAGGAAGCGTTTTTAATGAAGTCTTGGGATTATTGCTAAATTACATCATTTACAAAATCCCATAATCCACGTTTTAACAAAACAGCACTGGGCACATAAAAATGGTAATAAATAATTCCTGTAATAGTAATACCCCGCGCATGGCATGACGTGCAGTTCCCACGTCTGCGCGAACGCGCATGCGCACTTCATTTCACTCTCTATGGCCAGGGGTGGGAAGCATTTTGTGTTACATCATTCATCGGACTATTTTTTTACCCCCTTCGTTTTTTTATTTCAGCCGTCTTCTTCCTTGGACACCCTCCTCTAAATAAATAAGTCGCTTCATTTCACTCTCTATGGCCAGGGGTGGGAAGCATTTTGTGTTACATCATCGGACTTCGGACTATTCTTTTACCGCCTTCCTTTTTTGCTCCCTTAGACATCCTCTTCTAGACAGCCAAGTCGCTTCATTTCACTCTCTATGGCCAGGGGTGGGAAGCATTTTGTGTTACATCATCCAACTATTGTTTTACCGCCTTCGTTATTTTATTTCAGCGGTCTGCTCCCTTGGACATCCTCTTCTAGACAGCCAACTCGCTTCATTTCACTCTCTATGGCCAGGGGTGGGAAGCATTTTGTGTTACATCATCGGACTATTATTTTACTACCTTCCTTTTTTATTTTAACCATCTTCTCCCTTGGACATCCTCTTCTAAAGAAACAAGTTGCTTCGTTTCAGTCTCTATGGCCAGGGGTCGGAAACATTTTGTGTTACATCATCGGACTATACTCATTAATACTTTAGTTCGTTTACATTTTGTGTTACTCATCAAAATGATTTCTACTCCTGGACAAAGAAAGACCTCCCACAAGATTTCCACAAAGAATGATCCTGTGCTTCCCGCATTCAGTTTTCTTCACGTGCACACTGCACAGCTTCATTTCACTCTCGACCATAGAGAGACAGGGGTGGTCAACATTTTATGTTACACCATCGGATTATTCGCTATAATTATTTTTCCAGTTCCTCCCACTTTTTATTTCAGCGGTCTTTTCCCTAAGTTACCTACTTGGTTATCTGGAAAACATCGATTCATGACGATAAGAGCAGCATAATCGCGCATCCGCGGCCACCGCTTTATTAACAGCTTTATTACACTCTCTATGGCCAGGGGTGGGAAACATTTTTTGTTAAACACCGAACTCTTCTTACTGTTATAATCTAATCAGGTTTAAGGACCATTTTCCAGTTTTTATATCTTATTTCAAACAACTTTCCTCTTCCCGATTTGTCTGGAAGAGATTGTTTATTAGCAACAATATCGCCTTTGTGCTTATGATAAGCTTTAATGCTTTTTATGATAAGTTTGTCCTTAAACTCTTATTAGACTAACAGAAGTAAGGTGTAAAATACTTTTTTGAGATTGTACACTATTCAATGAAAAAGGTTGTAACAATCTAACCTGTTAGTCCTATAATTATGTATGAAGCACAAGTATTTTATCTATTTCAAAATACATTATTCGTTAACTCAATAATGTTACATGTCGAATAAAATCTACTTACTAACTTAAACTAAATAGGTAAGTTATTACATCAAAATATAAGATCAATGAATGTTTAGTATTTGTTTCATAAGTAGTAATATTCTAAACCAGTTACTATTTATTAAAAACTTATTTCAAGTTTTATAAACTTCTATAGTGTAACAACTTTATAGTTTCACAAATTTTCACAAATAATTAAGATCTCAGATTATTATAATTGCAAATGAAAGCTTAATTGTACGTACATACAACTAATGACCTTTACTTCCCCTATTGATATAAATTACTCGGCTAATAAAGTAAATCATAATACATAAGTATGCATAATACGAATAAAATGTTTAATACTTATTATAATTACAAGATATACAAAAATGTTACAAAAAGGATAAATAATGTAATAGGCCGTATAATGAAGTATGGACACTTCATAATTATCATCACTCGTACTATATATGCATAATTATTAGCATATAATTACACAATGCTTATGCATATTGTTAACAAGGTGTGCAAAAGATATCAGTTTTATTTTTCTGAAATTTCCAATCACGAATGTAGGTAGGTATATAAAATAAAATGTTCACTGAAATCTTGACAAGACCGTCATTTAGTTTTGTGTATCATAAAAATTATATCTAAAGTTAAGCTTTATCTAAATTGATAACAATCTTTTATCTTTAGACTTTAGAGGGGCAGTCCTTGAACAAATAAATCTTATTTCTAAGAAAAAACATTATTTTACCACTAATAAATTAGTTAGAAAACATTAATATTTCCCAAAGTCTCAAATCACAACCGAAACATCGCAGAATAGTCTCCTATAGACTCCGTTTTAATGCAAAAACAGCTTCCTTCCAACCTCAACTTTGTAGCTAAAATGTTACCGACCCCACCGATGCATTTTCCCAGTGGGGATCAGGCGCCGGCGCACCGCGGAAAAAAGTAAAAACACTATCAGCAGTCAATAACGGCGCGCGCGCACCGCGACTTTTTTCCTGACATTTCTAATTCGGCCACCGCGTCGCGCGGACGTGTCAGTTGATGGAGCACTTTTACTAATCGGTTGTGTGATAATGTGTCGTGATTGCTGAAAGTTTCTGTCCAAGATGGCGCTGAAAAAGCGCTGTGTTGTGCTTTTGTTGCTGTCTGTGCTTCTGGCGGAAGGCTACAGTCCGAGAGGTAAGGCTTATATTAGTGTTTATTTTTCAGATTTTATTTAGGCATTTAACACCTCATAATATGAAAGAAGAACATTGGACATTAATGCCAAAAAAGAGTTTATTTCAATTTATAAATTAACGGTTCATCCCTTAGCCATTATAAAGCTCTCCTAATGGTAAAATGTATCGTGTTTACATCATAAATATTTGAATAATTTAAATTGAATTTATAATCGCTTATTTCAGACAACTCATATCCATATCTTAAGCTCAATTTTTTCATGAGCTTTATCATCACTTATTCTGAAGATAATCAAAAAGCATGCAGGCATTAATACATTCAATATCCTTTTCTACAAACATAATATTTTATCACCGAACTTTATCGTAATACACTCGAGCTATTAGTAATTAGTCTTCTGACTACTAGTGTTTATATACTAGTGCAACAAAATATACCATTTTAGTCATAGTGAAGTGCTTTTGGTAGAGAGTAGAAATGATCATTAAATCAATTAGCAATCAAAATAGATCTAAAGCTATTCCTGCAAGTAACTTATACTGACATTATTTACATCCAAATCCTTCAAATATCGATACCTTTCTCTCAATACACCATTAGATCACGCCTCGCTCCTGGAGAACTGTTTCTTACGTAAACGATATATAGACTAAGAGCTGGTCAACGCCAGACCTACGTCATTTTATAAAAGCTAAAATTTTGTCAGCGTATGCTCCCAATATAGGATATAATGTTGGTGAATTATGAAGTATCGTAAGTCTAACTTTTACGGTGGCTTTTTCTGTATATTCAATAGACTGTAATTCTACTAACGTTATACCATTAAATCTGATTTTTATGTATAATAATATTTGGACAATAATTAGAAGTATTTTCCCCAACAGCCAGACAGTTTTGACAGTTCCAACTCCTCACCAGACAGTTTTTTTAGGGTAGCTCCCAAAGCCACCACGACCCAAACTTCATAATTCATCAACATTATATCCTATATTAGGAGCATACGCTGACAAACTTTCAGCTTTTATAAAATGACGTAGGTCTGGCGTTCACTAGCTCTTAGTCTAATAGTGCTCCAATGGACAAGCGCTCGACGGCAAACTGCCTAAGTCTTACTTTCGCGTTTTCACTTTTTATCGGATAACAATAATCCAGGATCGTAATAGGCTCTGGCGGAATAAGACGTTTCCAACTCACCGCAGAATTCAGGGTTGGCATTGAGGAAGGATCCTCAAGTTAAATTTAAAATAAATTATTAGTACAATAGGCCTTTTTCAGGCACATAAACACGTGCCCATATAACTTGCCCTACTACCAAATGTGAATTTGAATACTTAGGCCCAGTTTTTTGATTCATAGTTATAATAACCAATAGTCAAATTTGACAGATGTCAAATGACAAGTGGTTAAATATCGGAAAAAAATGTTTTTTGAACTATGGTTAGCTTGACTTTTAGTACATTTTTGAACTATTAGTTTACATTTTGTTAATATTTAACCATTAGTAGCAAAATTTAACAATTAGTTATTTTAACTATTAATCTGCGATTTCCAACTTTAAACTGCGATTTCCAACCCGCCTGCCAAGCGTGGAGATTATGGCAAAACCCTCCACTATAGTGGAGGAGGCATGAGCCTCCTATGATCCAAACTCCTGGACTATGAAGTCCAGCAGTGGACTGTAAAGGGCTGTTGATGAACTATTAATCAAAAAACTGGGCCTTAGTGTGTAATCAAAAACACCTCCATCGATCGACCAAATCTGTAAATTGAAAATGGTAGCCAGACATCTTCGGTAGGTATTCTTCAGACAATAATTATCATCGTTACCATCATTTACAAGAAATCAACCTTATTGTATTCCACTATCATGCAATTTTTATTCATGATTGTGAAGTTAAGTGAAATTAAGTTTTATTTACAATTTTCTTTACGACAAAAAAACATCCGGTATAAAACAAAACTTTACACCTACTAAGTTACGCTTAACTTCTAAGCTCGCTTGAAAAGCTTTAGTCAGTAGTTTACACTAACAAGGCAATCCTTTACAAGTAAAGAGCATGCGCAAAGATTCGATGCTTATCTCTGTTATTTAACGTTAAGTAAGCTCTTAAGTTAATTTCATCATGTTTAGAAAGTGGACAGTGAGAAACAGTAGTTGTTCTAAGGCTGATCGTTATAATTTTGAACCAGCTTTAGGCTATTTCCAACTATCTATTATTTTGATTTTACGGCTGTCTCGGTGGTTGGCGTCTTGTGAGTTTGATCCCCGCATAAACATTAGCTGAGCCTGACTTTGTTCGCGTTAAAATAGTTTGAATAATAGTTTGTGCAACATTTTTCTTTACCGCTCCTGTATTTAATGTAGAGCTATATAGCCCAAAGCCTTCCTCAATTATCGGCTTGGCTATCGAATACAAAAATATTTTTTCAAATCGGACTAGTAATTTATTTTCTGAGATTAGCGCGTTCAAGCTAGTTTTCGATCTAATATTGATTTGTTAACGTTCTACTAAAAATACAAGTTTCAATAGCCCGTGAACTCATCAAAGCAATTTATTTGTTATGATTTTTTACCACCCTGAAACATTTTCAGGATGAAGACTCGAGAACATTGTGTTTATTGCATATTGCTTACACAAATTACTTCCTTTTTGATATAAACGCTATTATTTTTTGTTTATTTAGACTTAGGCTTAGTTAGTAGGACACACACTGGGACACACACTAGACTTAGGCTGGGTTGCACCATCTACTTTAACTTTGACAAACTTCAAAAATCTGTCAAACTCCATACAAAAATCACCGGTTGTCGTTATAGTTACGGTCAAAGTGACGTGGTGCAACTCAGCCTTAAACTCAAGCTGGATTGCATCATCTTACTTTAACTTTAACAAACGTCAAAAGTCTGTCAAGCTCCATACAAATAACACCGGTTATGGTTATAGTTACGGTTAAATTAAGGAGTTGCAAGTCAGCCTAAAAGTGACCAAGTAAATACGACTAAAACAGTGACATTAGTTCTAATATTTAACTTCAAATAAAGACAAATAATAGCTTGTATTTACAGTGAAAGCCCTGTACATATAAATCCTACGGAAGAACCAGAGTACCTACTGCAGACATTATATTGTGACTATAGTGTATTATGATAGCTATAGTTTCTTCGGCACCTGTTACTGGACAGAATGTGCTGGTCACGAAGCATTGTACCGATTTTGATGTAATTGATTTGGCTGTTATTGCGTGTTGGCATCCCGTGTGGCTATTTTCAAGTTCAGTTCAGTATAAAATACGTTCATGAAATGTTTTTACCTATTATTTAAGTAACATCAAAAGCGATTGATGCGAAAATACATAGTCCGTAGACTGACATATCTAAGTAATATTACAGACCTTTAAACTTATTTTTTGTGAGATACTCATTCCATAAGTAGATGAGAAGGATAATTAAAAGAATACAAAAAATAACGTAAACTGTAACTATAAAGTTGCAACAAACTTGTAGTATAAAACATGCGGCAAATACTAATTACTTTTACAATTAGATCTTGATTATTGACACTTAATCGGTGATAGACTTTCAACAATCAATATTGAATCGTTTAGACGTAATCGATCGATTTTACCCATAAATCTCAAGCAATCACAAAGCCTTTTATGGACAACAACATCGTTCAAATTACAAAACCCATAATTAACTTTTTTTAAAAATAAAACTGACTTCAAATGCGTGAACACAAAAAAAAAACTAAAAATTAAAAAATATTGCGTATAAAAAAGTTCATCCCCAATTTTCCACCCTTGGGGGTGAAATATTTTCTTCAAATTCGCATGAAACCACCCTTTTGATAATACCTATTCAACAAAAAAATAATCGTTCAAATTGATTTATAATCGGCGGAGATATTGCGTATAAAAAAGTTCATCCCCAATTTTCCACCCTTGGGGGTTGTTTTTTCTATTATTAAATTTAAATGGGACCACCCTTGAGGTATTACCTATAGGNATCGGCGGAGATATTGCGTATAAAAAAGTTCATCCCCAATTTTCCACCCTTGGGGGTTGTTTTTTCTATTATTAAATTTAAATGGGACCACCCTTGAGGTATTACCTATAGGCCGAAAAAAGATTTGTTCAAATCGGTTCATAATTGGCGGAGTTATCGCGTAACAAACATAGAAAAAAAAAACATACGGGTCGAATTGAGAACCTCTTCCTTTTTTGAAGTCGGTTGAAAATGCGTTACAGGTATTACGAAACTGCTTTGTGAGGAAAGCCAACAAGAAGACCACCCGATCACAACAATATGACGTCACGCTATTGACATTTTTTTTGGTTTTGAACCATTCGACTGTGAAACTACTGATTTGCGCCTTTTCATTGGCTCGTGGTTAACTTGCTTCTGGAACGTTTTGTTTTTATTTATTTTAGCAATTCACAAATTAAGTAACAAAATACATAAACAATTCAGGGGAATTTGGAATTAAAAAATCATGACAAATACAATCAACCCACGAAACACACGTCGAAATAACTACAAAGTCAACAGAAAACGTCAATCTTATTGTAAGAAATACTAATCGTGCAATAAATGAAAGTGCAAAATTAAATTTTTCTTGAAAAAAACTAAACCAATGATTATTTTGTTCACTGACGTCAGAACAAAACTCAGCCTGCACATCAACATAAACAGAAAAACGTAACTAAAAATGTAACGTAACGAAAACAGTTATTATTACACAATGAAGGCCGGTAATATTTCCTGTCCATTATTAGGTAAGTTTAATTCAATTGTGGTTTGAACAATTTGGGCGCGCTCAATCAGTGCAAAGTGGCATGGACCCGCCGATTCGATCCGCAAAAAATGACCGTTAGCAAATTTGAAACATTTCGTCGAATTTCTAAGATTCTATCAAATCATTGCTGTGATTGGATTCACTTTCACACTACGATAGTGTTGTTAATGGAAATACAATGAATTATGTACATTCGTTTGC